TTTTTACCTAAATTTAAATTCGACTTTTAAATATTTAAATGTGTATTTCATAGCAATATTTGTAAAATAATATAAAATAAATATAGCAAAATTTATCTATTATTCTAAGCAAAATTTCTTGAATTTATCAATGACCCATATCGATTTCAATAGTTCTATAAACATTATGAATAATGCTAGGCTAAAAATCAATCTAAAATAAGCTTTTAGAACTAGGCTATAATTTAGTGTGACGTATCTTTTTTGGAAGTAAAATTCAGGTATATCAAATTTTAATAATTTCCATCGAAATTCACAATATCAATCCTTGAAACATTCTTATCTTGATAAAAAAAAAATATTACAGAAATATTTTAATATTTCTATTTTTGATAAATAAATTCCAATTAACCATGTAATTATTTCAATTAGATATTATTAATAAAAAATATTTTCAATACTGTTAACTGCAATCATTTTTTCTTATCATTTCTGCAATCGATTTGTAAAAGAGAGAGAAGACGGCATTTCTAATGTATTTAAAATAAATTCAAGTTATTGATTTCAACTTTTGTCAGTTTTCCGCTTTCTTTTCTTTTTTTCTTCCCCGAATCTGTGATATTTTTCATTTGGAAATTAATGAAGCAAATAATTCACCGACAATAAATTCCCTTCAAATTCTTTTTATTTTTCCCTCACTTCTTTTACTTTTTTATTTCCATTCATTCATAAACAACATATCATTTGTTATTATCTGTTTTAAAAAATTTTAAATGCTAAAAAATTATTCTTCCGGTTGCCTTCTTTTTTTTGAAATTAACAGAAGTTTTTGTTAATTTGAAATTTTCTATTTCTATTTTTCTTTTCATTCTCTTCAAATTACTTTTTTGTTCACATTATTGATTGATTGATACGAGAGGGAAAGTAAGTGCAAATATATTTGTTCGTATAATGCCAGTTTTTTTACAAATTCTTTATTTTTTTATCATTAAATTCCGTTTTATTTCATGCAAATTATCACTGAATTGATTGATAGTGTACTGTTTTTAGTGATAAGTATGTTATCATTTCTTGCCACTTAAATGTTTTATCAATTAATATACACTAATAGCTAACATATTGCATATATGCTGAGAAATATTTTTTATCCATAATTAACCAATCAATTAATCAATCAATCGAATTGATCCACTTTTTAGCATTATTTTCACAATAGCCCCTTTTGATTTATAATATTAATTTTGTGTTAATTTAAAATAATATTTTATCAAAAAATCACGACAATACTCGAATATAGAAGATGTCTAATAATTCTATCACTCACTATACGGCATATCATAATCATCTGATACTTTCGATCTGATACTTCTAATACGACACATTCAACGCTATAATTTCATCAATGATAGAATCATTGTTAATTTGATTAATCCTGTCCTCCTCACCTGTTATCACTGATGCTATTAAAACTCCTTCCATTCTTCTCGTCGAGATTTTCTTTTCCATTGCTATTATTCTTTTTCGCTATTTTATATCTTTTTAATTTCAAATCAAATAATGCTTCATGAAATTAATTAATTAAACAATTGTATTTATTCTTTCTTTTCATCACTATTTAAAATTTTCATAATTTTATAATGAATTATCTATTTTTCACTGCAGTAACATTATTTTTATTATTGCGACGAAAAGTCGATAATATATATTGAGTGTTATTAATTTTTGCGATTAATTTTTGTAGTTTCTATCGATTGCTAGATCATTCGATTGTTAATTACTATTTGTTTGGTTATCATTTAATTGCTGATCACTAATTTATCATTGGTATCGTCTTCATTGATTACTATCATTCAGTAATTGCTTTTAGCATTACCGAATAATTTTTTCCAGCTATTACCTACTACCAATTATCAATTATCGCAAATGCCCGTTTGCTGATAACTGATCAATATCTATTGATTACCAATTGCTGTATTATCGAAAAATATAGAGTTAACGTCAACAACAATATATTCTTCAATTCATTTAATTGCTAATCACTAAAATTATTCAACAATATTGTTCATATAATTTGCATAGTCAGCGCTCAGTATTATAAGAGGCCTATGATTAGACAATCTCGTCTGTTGTGCACATTTTGTTGTCCTTAAAATTATTTAAAATTAGATAATTCAAAGAATGCTTAATTGCATATTAGAAATTTTAAAAGGAATGATTATTATTATGGAAGCTATTCTAATATTTTACATGTTTTATTTAATCAACTAATTAATTAAAAAGTGAAATAGATCAGTAATTACTAAATAATATTAGTGTCGAAGTTTTCTGCAATGTTTAGGTATGAAATGATCGTATGCTAAAGTATTAGTTCGTATACTAAAGTATTAGTTTGAAATTTGAAAAGAGAAATAATCACTTGTCATTTTTTTTCACATCATTCTTGTACTTTTTTTTATATTTTAAAAATTTAAAAAATAAAAAGGGAAAAAAAAAACGAGAAAAGGAAAAAGACAGAATGTTTAAACTATTAAAATTTTTTCTTCTCATATTTCATCACTCCCCTATTTACTTTGCACTGACATTAACAGCAAACGAACTTTGTAATTTTCTTGATGACATCATTTTAGAAAGTTTTCATCAGTTAAATAATTGAGTTTTGGTATTAAGAAATCATTTTCTAAATATATATTACACTTTAATATCCAATAATACATACACACACATACATGCATAGCACACGTAGACGTACACGTCTACGTGTGCTATGCACGTAGATACGTATAACAAATGCCTCGTAGATGTTCATGTATAACAAATATCAAAGTGAAAAAATGCATCAGTCGGAAGAGCCTAACAAACAGATATTGCGATATGTAAACAGATGTTTACATATCATAAAGTTTAGCAAAGTTGATTTAAGATTTAAATGATATTTTATCTTCAGATTTTTTTTTTTCATTTTGTTAAATGAGTAAAGAGGAAAGATGGAAGAAAATATGTTCAAGAAAAGAGAGGAAAAGTATAAAAGTGCAAAGAAAAGGTTGAAGATTGTTCTTCTTCATCTTTCAAACAATATTCTTTCCATCGAACAGATTGTTGCTTATGTCAATTACCCTCTTTTATTAAATGAAAAGTGAGGAATCAAATTCTATCCTTTATTAAGAATCTTTTTAGTTAGTAATTACACCAATAATTACTAAATAATATTAGTAAAAATCAAAGTTTTGTGCAATGTTTAGGTATGAAATGATCATATGCTAAAGTATTAGTTCGAAGTTTGATTTTTACTAATTTTCAATAATAAAAACTAATCCGATACTTTAGAAAGTTCTACTAATCTGATTTTTATTAATCTGATACTTTAGAAGATAGTTTAAGATTCTAAAATTTGTTTAAGATTCTAAAATTTCTCTCACATACTGCTGCTTCTGTATTGTTTACATATCATTAAAAAATTGTATACATATGTTCACATATCACTTTCTTTACATATCATTAAAATATGATATAGCATTGCCATTTTCATTAGAAGAAATTCATTAGCCAATCTTATTAATTAGCGATTTTTAATATTAAGATTGCTCAGATAATGTTATCGATAGATCTTATTACAACTTAACCTTATTACTTTTCAAAATAGCATTATTCAACTATAACTTTATCGTATCATAATCATTTTTGAATTTCCATTACATTGTCAATAAACAATTTGCATCATAAATTTGAATTTTTATCATGCTAACATATTTTTATTATAATTTAATCAATTTTTTTTTTGAAACAACACGTTCTAATGCAATTTAATGATTAATCATTTCAAATATTGAAACTGTATTTCTTTCAGAAATTCTAATCGAATTATCCATAATTTATTTTTGCTATTCTTCGCACATTTCTATTTAAAGTGTATGTTAGAAATGAATAGTACAATTAGTAAACTATAATGCAATGTAATTTAGCCAAGAAAAATATTATTACTCAGTTTAATATTTTTATGAATTTTTTTCTTGCAAATTTAAAATCAATTTATTGTTTGTTAAATTAAAATCTATTTGTAGGCTAAAATTTTTGTTTTAAATTAAGTAAAAAATGAAATTGATAAGAATATTACTACAAAAAAATAAATTGTTGTTTATACAATTAGCAGAAATATAAATTTGTTCATTTAATGCAAAATGTGTTGCACACAAAAATTTAAGAAAAATCTTTCATCTCTTAACCGATCATTTTATTTCAATTATTAAATTCTTGGAAATTTGTTGAAACTTTTCTGATATCAATTTTTCATATAATTGTTCATTTTGTTTTATTTTACATTCCATGCATTATTGCACCGATTCCCTTTTGATAAATTTTCCGCTATTCATCATATTCATTCACTCGATAGTAATTTCTTCAATTTTTGAAATGAAATATAAAAGTTTTCCTTTAAATTTTAGATGTTTTAAAAAGATACAAAGCAATTTTATGAAATTTCTAAAGTTTCATTTTAAAATATCTTTTTGCAAAAAGAAAGAAATAAAGGAAGCAACTAATTAGAGTTAAAAATTAATGGAATTAATTGGCATTGACTGTTTTAGTTCCAACCGTGAATTTCTTTACTTTGTTGCTTCTTTTTTTGGATGAGAGGGAGCTAAAAAAGGAAAAAAATTACACTGATTTCATCAAAGTTAATTTGGCCTTCAAACTTGAAGAAATTAGAAAGCTAGCTGAAGTTTAGCATAGACCGATTACTTCTCTTATGTTATTATGAGATATTGTTGATAGAAATTATATTCTGAATAAAATCTAAATTTTATCTTTCTTGATTTTTTTGCTATTCAATTTATTTCCAGTGTTATTTTTGTTCTCGTCCAGTTTTTTAATCATTTAATAAATTTTATTCAAAATTTCTTTCATCGCTTACTCGAACAGATGTTCAATCAATAATTGATATACGTTTACTAATTTGATTCACTGAAACTTAAAAAATTACAGATATAATATTATTATTTTAGACTAAAAAAGGAAAAAAATTATTAATGTTAGGATTAATAACGATTACAAGCGTATTCCGAAATTGGTGGAAAAGTTCAGAGCAGAAAGAGGAACAGTCTGTGAATAATGGAAGAAGTACTAAAGCACAAAAAAAATTTAATTTCGATGAACCACCAATTTCCGTATGCCTTTTTACTTCATTTATTAACTTTTTTAATGGTTCGAGTTTTTTTTTTTCAAATCCGAACATTATTAAATATTTTAATACTTCTTGGAAATTTTAAACCATTTTAAAAGAAAATGTCAAGAATATTTTTAAAACATTTTCTTTTTCCTTTTTTTTATCGAAAAAATTCGACATAAAAATGATTTAATTTGAATAAGTGATTATTTTGCAATTTCCAAAATTAATAAGGAAACGAAAAAACAGAAAATTTTGTAAATTTTAGTTGGAAACAATAATGGCAGAATTCAAATTATCAAATGATACGCTTCGTCAAATGATGGCGCATATGTCCCGTAATATGGACAAGGGTCTTGAAGGTGGACCCGAAAATAGTACCATATCAATGTTGCCATCTTTTGTACCCGAATTACCTGATGGAACAGGTTACAGTTTTTTTCTTTTTCTGGCTTCTAATTGAAACATTTTATAATTTTTATTAATTTGCAATAAACAGTTATAATTTTTACGATCAAGTAAAGGTGTGAAAATTTTCATCAATAATTTGGCAAATAAGTTTTTTACTTATTTTTACTGGTACTAATCATTTGTAGCATCGCTATATGGCCTTTTTTAATTTTAAATTATGATTTATTGGAAGAATAATTCTAACAGATGAACTGCAATAACAATAACTCAAATAATAATTTTAAACTGAAAGAATAGAGAAGGGAAGAATATCAGAAAATAATAAAATTCATAAAACAATATTATCTGCTAGCTACAAATTTTCTTTTACGGAGAAAAAAAAACACATATTTATTGACTGATTACATTAGCAAATAAATCTAATTAAAATTAACTGTATATCTATGAGATGACGAGGAATAAAAGCATTTAATTCAAAAAAAAGAAAGGAAAGATACTTACTGTAATTGGCTGAAAAATAAAAATTGTGAGAAAGAGCAGATAATCAATTAATTAAAAGTTAGATCTTAAAGAATTTTATCATTTCTTCTATTATTCCACTTTTACAATTATCATTCGTCATTAATTACATTGGAAAGTTTTTTTTTTCTTTTGTTCAATACCACTTAATACTATAAACTGATAGGTAAATTAACTGAAATTATCTTACTGCTAATATCGTGAATCTTTTTTTTCTTTTTGAAAGATCGTTGGACGATCATAAATGATATTGCATTCAGTCTTTGAGACCTCTTATGCAAATATTATCACTTCCGAGATAGCGTATCAAAAATTCACAATCATATCAGTTTGAACTTTCATACGGTCATCGTTGAGATACTTTGTCAAAATATTTATTTTCTGTATGAAAAATATTCTTACCTAAATTTCATTTTTCGCAACACAAAATGATAACTTTTTTAAAGTGATATACAAATTTGAGTATCCGTTTCAAAAATTAAAGATGAATTCCTATGAAGGAAGCATCAATCCATAGAAAGACACGCACATATACACACGTGCACACACATACACAGATATACACGTACATGCACACACAGATATACAATGTGCACGTACCACATACAATACACGCACATATACATCACACGTACCTTTTACATTATTCAATTCTTTTATATTAAAATTTTTTTCTTCCAGCGTATTTCAGACATTAATTGATGTATACTTACAGAAATTTTACAGAAGAAGGTCGATTTATTGCAATGGATTTGGGTGGTACCAATTTGCGCGTAATGTTAATGGATATTGTGCAAGGTGAAGAGCTTAAAACACAACAATTCAATACACGTATACCAAATTGGGCTATGCGTGGTACCGGTGAACAGGTTGATCTTTATCAATTACGGTACTTCATTTGCATAAAAATTGACTGGTTCGCTGAATGGAATATTTGCCAATTTGATTTTTTTTTGAAAAAAAAAATCTCTAAATGTATGATGATGAGATGTGAACATTCCTCTATTTAATCGATATTGCATCAATTCTAGCATTCTAATAATAAAAGTTTTAAACTTAAAATTGAAAATATAATCTTAGTTTGCTTCATTTTAATTTATGTAATGGAATATAAATTTTAAATTTACCATTTAAGCTGTTCGATTATATAACAAAATGCTTAGCAGAATTTTTGATTGAAAAAGGTATCCAAAATGATGGCTTACCGGTAGGATTCACATTTTCCTATCCGTGTGATCAGAAAAATTTACGGTCTGCTACACTGCTCAGGTTGGCAATTGTTTGTAAATTTGAAAAATTCATTCTATTAATTCGAAAAGAAACAAAAAAAAGATTTTATGCAAAAATATTTAGGTGGACAAAAGGTTTTGAAACAACAGGTGTGGTTGGAGAAGATGTTGTGGAACTTCTTGAACAATCTATCGCTAGAAGAGGTGTAAGTTTTTTACTTTTTAAAGTTCTTCTACAAAATATTTGTTTAAAAATTATTGGAACTTTTATTTTTACAGTTTAATATATTTCTTATTATTGGAAATTAAATTTCTCTTATTTAAATTGGATTGATAATTATTTGAAAATTATGCTATTTTAGATGGTGCTTTTTTCCTCCCTTTTCTTTTGCCGATTATTGATATAATTTGTTGTTTTGAGTAAATTTTGACAAAATTTTATTTTATTTTTTTCCATTCATTAATTTGATGAATTATTTGTAGGATATTAAAGTGAAGGTGGTAGCATTAATTAATGATACCGTTGGTACAATGGTAGCGGCTGCTCATGGAAATGATGGTGAATGTCATATTGGTGTCATTATTGGTAAGTTTTTTCAATGCAATATTTTCGTCAATTTTTTCCTTTAAAGTTATATCTGTTTTTTTTTCAGATTCTTAAATTAGCAAATAATTTAGAATGAAAAAGTTAAAAAAAAGTGAACAGAAGAAAAAAAGGAAAAAATATTACTGCAGCAACTGGCACTAACGCTTCATATATGGAAGATGCATCAAAAATCAAATATGGCTTATCAAAAGCTACAACTGAATACAAATATCCGAAAATGATTATTGATACGGAATGGGGTGGCTTCGGTGATCATTCGGAAGCTGATTATATATTAACGCAATATGATAAAATTGTTGATAGTCGATCGGAGCATCCAGGCGTTAACACGTATTTTACTTTACTTTTTTACTTTTTTACTTTTTTACTTTTTTACTTTTTTACTTTTTTACTTTTTTACTTTTTTACTTTTT